ACAACTGTGTAGTTAGAATATTTAAATAATTTTATTTTTTAATTAATATTAATAGATAATATATTTATAGGAAAAAAATGAATGATTGAGTAAAAATATTATGCCTTATAAATCACGTTTAGAATAAGAAATGTAATATCGATGCTTCAAAAAATGTCCATAAATATCTAGTATATTTATGACTACCCAAACCTAATATTTTTGAATTGAGAGTAAATTAAATTCATCCAAGCCAATTAGCCAAATGACTAAGTATGAAAAATTGCCATATAGGATTCTGAAGCATAAGATCCTACCACTTAAGCTCAGCACATTCTGCAGTTATATATAAGGGATAAGATGATTAGAGATATGTGAGATGTTGAAGTGGTAAATTTTATTTAAAAATTGTGTTTTCGATCGAGTTTCGTTTTAAATTTTTATCGATTGAGTTTCGTTTTAAAATTTGTGCTCAAACTCGTTCAACTATTAAACGAGTTTAATTATTTGTTCAAAAGATTTCTTATCAAACATGAATGAGCTCAAACAAGATTTTGTTCGTAAAGTTCAGTTTTTTATTGAACTCAAATAAGCTTTTGTTCGCGAAGTTTAGTTTGTTAATAACCCAATATTCAATTTAACAACTCCTTAATAAATTTAAATAAATAATATTTTGGGTTATATTTAATTTGTTTTTCTTATATGTTTATTTTATAAGTAAATAATAATGGTTTGAATGATTTCATTTATAAGAATAAAAAATGGATATTAACAATCATGGATGTTAGCTGTAGTAATGATTATTACAGCTATAAAATTTTAAAAAATAAAAATGTTATGTTGTAACTTGAGCGGCCTAGACAGATATGGCGAGTAGTCAATTTTTAGTCCAGATTTGTACTCCTAAGGATTTCAACACCGAAGGGGGGAAGCGACTTTATTAGCAACAATGGTGATCCAATACCGACGCCTCCATGACCGAGAAAAAGAAGGTTTGATTCAATGACCTAAGATGCTTCAATGAAGGTTTGATTCTGAAACAACATTGGAGGTTGGTCACCAACCCAAATTTGTTAGTGAACAAGGTTTTGAAGAGTAGATATTTTCTAAAG